CTGAAAACTACAAGCCTGATTGCTTTGATACTTGGTGTATTTGTACTTTGGGTAGACCTCAGATTTGTTCATTTCAGGATGATATCTTTAATTCTCTAATTTTGATGAATATTTTTGTCATTTTTGGTAAAAAGTGATATTTTTGACTTCTTGTTAAAACCTGCAAGTTTTATTGCTTTGATATTATACATATAGGTATCTCAGGTAGACCTCTCTCAGATTTGTTCATTTTGTGATATCTTCAGTTCTTTTAATTGAAATGTGCATTGCTAACAGTGGAGCTATCACAAAACAACCAAGGAATCAACATTCTGCCGAGATGATATATTAAAAAGTATGTGCATCCCAACTGTATAACTTATAAACTGATATTATATAAACTTATAATATATTGATATTATTTTTTCCCAAACAGATACTGTGGAGTTCAGAAACCTTTATGGTCTGTTATTCACCAGTTTGTATCATTTTTAAATGAACAACTTGTGAATTGGGAGGAGAGTCCATTCTGCGGCAAACTTGCTAGTGAGGACCTACCTGGATTTAGTCGATTTGCCTTACATTTTATGATTGTTGTGGCACAGGTAATGTTATATGAAAATATTTGTATTCAAATATTCCTTTTTTTATATCTACGAAAAACTAGTGTGATTTAACTCATGTATTATTAATATGTTTATTCTAGGACTTTGCCACACCTAGTCTTGAAATTTCAGATGAAAGCATAGGTGCCATGTCAACAGATGAACCCATGTACCAAGTGCGTCGACGTTGGGAGCAAATGTGAGTTGAAAATAATATATTTGACAATCTTTTGTAAATGTTTATGTTTCCATCAATTTAAAAGCATTTAATTGCGGCATATATCTATTACAGGGCCCATCCTTACATCTTTTTCAATAAAGATGGCACAACAATGACATTCCACGGATTTAAAGTCGGCCGAGATGGCTCTTTAGTGAGTCCAACTCACCCTGATATTGTAGTTCCTGGCATAATATTGGAAAAACAGCTGCAGACGGCATTAGAAGACAATGGGGCAAAGTTTTCCTATGTAGATCAGGCAAAGCCAAAATTTGATTTTGACAGACTTCCAAGGTATGTTATATTTGTTAAGGTATGTTATATGTTAAATCATATCATGTGAACATGTACTGCACTGCGCATTGGAATTACACTGTACTGTAATAATTACTCATGTGTGTCATTATAGGAAAGAGAAGGTTCGTTACCTGTGCAGAGTCCTAGGTATGTCGGACAGAGCAGCTAATGATCCTGATCCAACATATGAACTGATTACAGATAACGTGACCAAGATGATGGGTATATTACTACGATTCAGGTAGGGTAGACAATTGCATATAGTTAACATATTGTCAGTTGGACAATTCAAGTCTACCTTAGAAGAAATGCTGTCTTTCACAAGTGAAATTTTGCAAGTGTTAATTATTACTCACTAGTGATTACCATATAATCTCTTGAATAGGCATAATTCTTCAAACATTTCAATCTTTCCTGACGCCTAGATTAGAGTCTATTCAAGAGTCTGATGCTTATTGTGGCTAGCGTGAATGGGTAAACTGTGTTTCAACAGTGTTATCACCTTTAAAAAAAAAAAGAGTAAAATTTTCTCCTCAATGCTCAGTTTATTAGTCCCCGTTCGAACGAAGTTCGAAAACGAGGACTTATAATTGGTCTTCGTCCGTCCATACGTCCGTGCATCCATCCGTTCGAAGTCATATTTCAGAATCCTTTGGGCTGATTCTGTTCATTCTTTGCATGTGCCTAGTACTTTATGTGGGACATATGCACATGGTTTAGTGATTTGATTCAAAATGACCGACTGGCAGCCATCTTGTTTTTTGAAAATGTTGTATTTTGCACATGCTTTGTCAGTTTTCATTCAAATTTGGTACATGTTAGGATACATGTCCTCCGACTGACCGTCCATGCATCCATCCGTTCGGAGTCATATTTTAGAATCTTTTGGGACCAATTCCATTCATTTTTTGCATGTGCCTAGTACTTTATGTGGGACGTATACACATGCAGTGTTTAGCAATTCAATTCAAAATGGCCGACTGGCAGCCATCTTGTTTTTTGAAAATAAAACGAGTAAGCGCCTTTCGCATATCTGAGATTGCTTTCTGCCTCTCAGATATGGTTATGGGGATATGGACATTTTACACTAAAAAACTGACGAACTATCCCCCTGCGAGGGGAGTTCTTTTAATTTTATGATCTAGATGGGCAAGTGTAATTCAGATAGATCATCATTGTTTGACACCCCCTCCCATGGGAATTTAAATTAGAGGCATGACAAACATTAAATTGTATTCAACGCATTATTTTAATTGAACTGATATTTATTAAAACTGCAAATTTGAGGACACAGCTTTCACCATATTATTCAACACAAGAGGGCGCTTGACTTGTACAAAGGGTCTATTAGCCACTTTAGTCCAGAACTAACAATACAATTACAAATAGTTGCAATTGTTATATTCCTTATCCCAGAATCTCAAATTCGGTCATTACACATATGTTAACATTGTAAGCCTCATGTAAAGATTTATTTGAGGGCACTATGGCAACAAGCATTCATATTCATGAGATGTATGGTAATGTAATTTAGTGCCTCATTCCGATCCTCAGACTTGCATTTTAGCAAGTGCAATGACATAGACATGCACCTCAATTTGTTTTACTTTCACTTGTGATCTATGTTTTTCTTTGCGAAGGGGTCGTTACACAACAGTGTTCAAATTTGATGTAAATAAACAATCTGTTGTATTTGCCACTTGGGACTCAAGTTTCAAGGACACACTTGCGACAAGCACAAAGAAAACTTTCACAAAGAGAACTTTCAAAAATTTAACAGTCATTTTGACTTGATTTTTTCAAAAACAACTAATTTCTTGATTAAAAAAAAATCAT